TGAGTGTGTGTGTGTGTGTGTGTGTGTGTGTGTGTGTGTGTGTGTGTGTGATTGTGCTTATGCACGATGTGTATTTACCAAAGCATCTCTATATCCACACAGGAAACAGGAAAGTTCTAGACAGCTCCAATGTTTCTAAGAGAATGTAGAAAGCTTATTTGGTTCCTGACGTCCACCCTTGAGGTTTTGATTAACCAGTAGCTCCAGGAAGAAGCTGAGTTCCACATGTTACATTGATTCTAGTTCATGCCAATGCTTTATGCACGATGTGTATTTACCAAAGCATCTCTATATCCACACAGGAAACAGGAAAGTTCTAGACAGCTCCAATGTTTCTAAGAGAATGTAGAAAGCTTATTTGGTTCCTGACGTCCACCCTTGAGGTTTTGATTAACCAGTAGCTCCAGGAAGAAGCTGAGTTCCACATGTTACATTGATTCTAGTTCATGCCAATGCTTTGAGAAGCCTGCTGGAGGCCTGAAATGTAGGTCTAGAGAGTAATTTAGGAATACGGATTTGATTGAGAGGGTCAGAGTACATTGGAAGGGGCAGGAGGAGTCAAATAATGGCTGTGACCTTATGGCTTTAATTGTTTTGCACACTATACTATGGAGACCATAGTTCTGGCTAACAGTTCAGTTGAGTGTTTCTGTCTCTGGTCAGCTCTGTTACAGTTTGTGTATTTTGCCACAAGTAGGATTGATTATGGGTGAGTCATTGCAAATACCTTACCTTTACTGCAGAAATAACCGGTAACAATTGATGTACTGGTGGTAAGTCATAATGTGAAAAATTTACATCATGGAGTTCTTCTTCTTAGGTCTTCTTGACAATGTAACGGTTCTTATTGGGATCGCGTATGAAGGAAAAGCCATAGCGGGCATTATTAACCAACCATATTACAACTACCAGGTATTACGACCCATGATTCAAAACTAGATACATAATTATAATATCATATAAATCAGATGCCATCTAATCTAGTGGTTTCTAGCTTGATTGCACTTTTCAAAATGTAGATTCCCAGGGGTTTATTTGGCCTATTGAATAGAACCCTCTGTGCGTATTGGGCCCAGGAATGTAGATGTGGGTACATAGGCTGTATGCATTCTATTTTTGATGTATTTATGATTCAGTTACAAAAGTTGGGAAATGACCAATGTGGTTCTTGATTAGCTTGGTCATCAAGACACCTGACTCACAAGTAGTTCTTGACACACACTGAAGAAATGAACCATGTCAGCTGAGAAAAGATGCTAGCCGTGTTGTTAGCCAAGTGACGCTGCGTGGTGCTGGAGTCACAGTTGATAGTGTTAAGCTAAATGTGCTCTCGGGCTCTTTTCTTTGACTTTGTGTCTTCCAAACTTCTTTGACTTCCTCTCGTACTTCAAAGACACTGTCTCCTTAGAAAGAAAAGACTGATGTCATTTTAGAGCAAGAATAGAGCATTAAATTTTAATGGAAATATTGAAATAAAATATTTAAAGTTTTTATCTTAATGCAAACTCGAACTTTGGCAAACAAAGTAACTTGAGTAGGGATCATTTCTGAATTTCTGATTCAAGAACAGTCTTAGTTTTTAGTTCTAATGTAAATGTGTTTATCCTGATGCTTATATGATTAGAAATGAAATGTGTTTCCTGGGACTTACCAGAGCAGTTCGACATTATTAGGAGAGGCATCCCAAAGTGCTCGAGTGCTCACAATTCTTAGGATATAGCTTTAGTGTTTACATAGTGGTACTTTAACACTATTCCTTAAAAGAGGGGCATTTAATTCATAGAAAAAAATGTAATGCATGGCCCCTTTCATCAAAAATGGGGTGTAAATGCTTCAGAATTGTTAATAATTTTCATCCCTTATTTCTGAGATCAGAAAAATTGCATTCATTTTCCGCAGAAGAGTGGAAAACAGAAGTTAAGGGAGCACAGGCGTGAAGCTACAGTGAGAGAACAGCTAGGGAAGCAGAGGGAGCACTGCGCCCCGTCCGTCCCGGGACCCTCCTTCTTTTCTCTTCCTGAGCTGTGCTCTCCTCACCCTCTTTTCCTTCTGCTTACGTCGCTGAATTTGTTCCAAGTACAAGTAAAACAGCAGCTGTGTTGGTGCTTAAGGCTGAAGATTTCATAGTCGTGTTTTGTTTGTTTGTTTTGTTGTTGTTTGGGGTTTTTTTGGTGTTTCTGAGACAGGGTCTCCCTGTAGCCCCAGCTGATCTGATACTCACTATGAGACCAGGCTGGCCTTGAACTCACAGAGATCTGCCTGCCTCCGCCTCTCAAGTGCTCGGTTAAGGGCATGTGCCATCATGCCTGACTTCATAATCATCTTAATAATAGCTAAAGTGTATCAAAAGCTTAAGAGCTTACTGTGCTGTCAGGCTCAAGGGACTCACATGCATTATCTCTTTTAACTCTCACCACACCTCCCTAAGGAAACTGTATCTCCATGAAGAAAAGGAGGGCTAGCTGGAGGCATGGCTTAGCAGTTACGAGCACTGGTTGCTCTTGCAGAAGACCCAGGTTTGAATCCCAGCACCTACATGGTGGCTAACGACTGACCATAGCTCCCGTCCAGGGGAGCTGATGTCCTCTTCTGACCTCCATGGGCAGTGGGCATTGTATGACGCAGGTACACTTACATGCTTTTTTCATTAAAAAAAAAAAAACAGAAAAGGAGGAGCTGGAGAGATGACTCCGTAGTTAAGAGCAATTACTGCTCCTCCAGAGGATCTATGTGTGTTCCCAGAGCCCACATCAGACAACTCACAGTGCCCATAATTCCAGCTCCAGGGTGACCTGATACCTCTCTCCTCTATGGGCATTTGCACTCATATGCACATACCCACACAGCACACCCATACATACATATAATTAAAAATAATAAAAATCTTTAAAAAGAAGGAAAGGATATGAGCTGGGCCTTTGGTACAGGTAGTCAGGGAATTGAAGCAGGAGAATTGCCTGAGCTACAGAGCTCCCTTCCCTTCATAGTCATTCACAGAGGGAGTATGATCTGTCCTTTTTTTTTGAGATAGGCTCTCATTGTTTCCCATGCTGGCCTTGAATTCACTCTGTAGCCCAGGCTGACCTTGAGCTGGTGATCCTCCTGGTTCCACCTCCTAAGTGCTGAATTACAAGCGTGCTCCAGCACCCTTTGCAGGAATCCCACTTTGTAGGGGACCTGAATCCACTTTCCCTCCAAGACTAAGTGCAGAGCTAAACAGAGTTCTTGGGAACATGGAATTAGTCACAACAGTCAAGCAAATGCCTCCTGAGCACTAACAGCCACTGTGAGTATAGTCAGGAGGGAGCAGAGGAAGCACGCCAGCATCCCAAGCACCCGGTACTTGGTTTCGGTTCTTCTGTTGCTTCGTGGCAGAAGGTACAGGTAGGAGGCAGCCTCTGCCAGGATTGCCTCTCTGTGAAGAGTGCTTCCCAAGACAGCTTGTTTCCAATGACCAGTAATTGCAGGTACGAGGAGGCCTGGCGTTTGGTTCTGGTTTGGGGCCATGCAGGACCTGTTGAAGCTCTAGAGCTTCCCGAGGTAGCCTTGGGAGCTATGGCCTAGCTGCTCATTTTCCCCTCTGCCCACACCTATTTCCTTCCATGGCATTGATCCCACACATAACTCCTTAACAACCATCCCCCTGCCTCAGACTCTGCTTCTAGCCTGCAGCACCAGTGTATTGTTACTCTGACAGCACTAGTGCATGGCTCTAGGACAAAGAAGTCTGTGAGTTTGAAAACATTTGGACAAGCCAGCTCAAGGTAGCCCAATCCCAACTTTGATGGACAGAGTGGTCCAACCCACTGGAGAGGCTAAGGTGGGAGATTCCTTTCAAAGCCATGCAGGGTTACATAGTAAGACCCCATCTCAAAAACAAAACAAAGCAAAACAAAATGAAAGCAGCTTTGAACACAGATGACCTGGTTTTGGTTAGGAACTTCTTAGAGTCCCAGACCAGTTTATTAATCATTTCAAATCTCATTTTTCTCATTTTTAAGGATTATATCACCTACTTCCTGGGGCTGCTCTGAGAATTGAATGAGAGAATGCATGAATAAAAAAACCTAGTGTGTGCTCTCCCCCATCCTGTTGAGTAAAGTACATGCCTAGTTTTAATATCGGCTTCCAGTATTAATGTATTGTGACAGCTTTAGACTTGTAATTTTAGCATTAGTTTTGCTTTTTCCTGAAATAGTTCTATGTGAGATGTCTTCTTGTAGCAACATGGCTGGAAAGTCTTTGAGCTCTGCAAAAGAAAATACAGATTCTAAGATTGAGTTCTCATTGTCATTTTACTGGTACAGCTGTCTGCACTGTCCGCCACCTCCTTCGGTATGGGCCTCTTCAGTTGCTCTGTCTCTATAGCAACCAAATGCATTCTCACCAAGTAACACGGCTCCCACTGTTCTTGAATCCTGAAATGTAGGATGTAGTTCCAGGACATTTCCTGGAATTTTAATATCTTTAAACATGACTATTGTCAGTATAACAAACAGATCATTGAATGATTCCAAAAGAAACAGCAATCAGGGTATGTTTCCTTTTCAGAGGACTCAAGAGTTTCCATCCTTTGAAACTATTAACCAAAACTACTGATTTTCAGGACAAGTTCTTAGTCATAGTTATTGTTCTTACATTTCTTATAGTACTGTTCTTGTATTTTATGACATCCTGAACATGGTAACTGTAACTAAATATAACCAATTGCCTGTCCCCCTTACGCTGACATCTTTCTCTCAGTGATGATGATCTTTGTTGTTGTTTTGCCCCTTCACACAGGCAGGACCAGACGCTGTGTTGGGGAGGACCATCTGGGGTATTTTGGGTCTAGGTGCCTTTGGGTTTCAGCTGAAGGAAGCTCCTGCTGGAAAGCACATTATCACCACTACCAGATCCCACAGCAACAAGTTGGTCACGGACTGTATTATGGCTATGAATCCCGATGATGTGCTGCGAGTGGGAGGGGCAGGAAATAAGGTGGGAAACTCCTGTCGTCAGCTCTGGCGTGTACTGTCATTGGATGGAATGCTGAGCTTGTTAAAATGTGAACTACATCAGTCTGGGTGGTGTAGGCCCGCACTCCCCGTTACTCAGGGGACAGAAACAGGAAGACAAAAATTAAGATTTTCTGGGCAACTTAGCCCCTATCTCTCAAAATAAGAAGTATGAAAAGGACCGAGGGTGTGGCTCAGTGGTAGGGCCCTTGCTGAGTAAAGCCCTGAGTTCAGTCTCCAATACATTTATTTAAAAAAAGTGAAAATAGAATGTAAGGGAAGAGGTTAAACATTACAATTTTCCACTAAAATTGCATTTAAATTTGTAGAAGAAATTTAAGGCCCAAGAGTTGGAACTGTGTTTCAATTACACAACTCAGATTTATCATGCACAAGACCCTGGTTGGATCCCAGCATGATCCAGAAGGAGACAAGGTTGAAAGTTCCAGTCTTTTTTATCTGGAATAGTACTAGCCCTTGCTTCTTGCCAAGGAGCTTAATTCCCAAGATCCGTCCTGGATTTGTTTCTGTACCTTTCCCCATAGACTCTGAGCACGGTCTGCCCAGGACTTCCCTGGCTGCTTCCCTTATTTCTTCCAAGCCTCCAACCTCCCAAGTGCATTGTGAAATGGGACAGAACTTGATTTTCTCCCTAGCCTTGATCTCGTCTCATCTGATCGTCCCCCAGATACCATCAAGTGACAGCCTCAGCCATTTCAAATTCATCATGTCCAGTTGGACCTCATGGCCCTTCTACTCACCAGAGGTGCTCCCTGTTGATGCCGCCATTTTGTAATTGTCTAGCCAGATACTGAGTCTCCTTCCTTCCTCACATCCTCTCAGTCTGGCACTACTTACCTCTTAATCCTTAATCCTTCCCTGATGTCTCTCCTTTGTCTGTCTTTTTAAAAATAATTTATTTACTATTTTTTAATTTTATGTGTATGAGTGTATTGCCTGCATGTATGTTGAGTGCATTTGTGTGTGGAATGCCCATTGAGGTCAGAAGAGGGCATCAGATCCCCTGGAACTGGAGTAATGAACAGTTGTTAGCTACTATGTGGGTGCTGGGATTTGAACCCAGGTCCTCTGGAAGGGTAGTCAGTGCTTTTAATCATGGAGCCATCTCTCCAGTCCCCTTTTGTCTATCTTTTGGCCATTTGAGACCTATCACCGTCCCTCACTCTACCTTATAGCCGGTTGAGACCTGTTGCTGTCCCTTACTCAGACTACTGCTGTAGCTTCCAAACTAGTCTCCCCATTCAGTCCAGTTTTCATGAATGCCAATACAGCATTTAAAATTGCAAAATGCAGCCAGGCACGGTGATGTATGCCTATCCTAGCACTGGGAGTTGGAGGCAGAAAGATTGGGAATTCTAAGTCATCCTTGGCTATATAACAGGTTTGAGGCCAGCCTGGACTACAGCAGACCCTCTTTCAAAGAAGCCAAATAATAAGAGTAATAATAATAGTTCAATTTTAGTAGTGAAAGGAGAAACAGATATGATTCTGAAGATTTATGGAAGTACTTGCTAGGCTAGCCAGCACTGCACAGCTGTTAGGACTTAGCTATACATTATAGTTATGTTTCTGTTTTGAATTTACCCCTTATTTAATAATGGCCATTTGGGGGGATCTTTTTGAGACAGGGTCTCCCTGTAGCCCCAGCTGGCCTGGAACTCACTTTATAGAGCAGGCTGTCCTGGAACTCAGAGACCTGCCTACTTCTGCCTCCTGAGTGCTCGGACTAAAGGTGTGCACCACTACTCCTAGCTTATAAATATGTATACTTACATAGTAAGAAAGGAAAACAGGCTGGAGAGATGGCTCAGCGGTTAAGAACACTGACTGTTCTTGCAGAAGACCTGGCTTTGAATCCCAGCACCCACATGGCAGCTAACAACTGTCTAACTCCAGTCCCAGGGGATCTAACAGCATCTTCCGTCCTCTGCATGACACGGGTACACTTACTTACATGCAGGCATAACACTCATACACATAAAATAAAAATAATAAATAAAATATTTTTTAAAAAACGGAAAACAATATGAATAGGAAAACTTGATCTAGGAATTGGAGAGATGACTCAGCAGATTAAAAAAACCTTTGATGCTCTTGCGGAGGATCCGGGTTCCATTCTAGCACAACATGACAGCATACAACCACCTTTAACTCCAGTTCCAGAGACTCTGGTGCCTTCTTCTGATCTCACCGGGTACCAGGCCTGCACATGGTACATATACATACATGCAGGAAAACACTCATCCACAAAAAAATTAAATAAATCTTAAATAAATGAATGAGTAAATAATTTTTAAAAATAAAAAAGAGGGGCTAGAGAGATGACTCGGTGGTTAAGAACACTGGCTGTTCTTGCGGAAGACCTGAGTTTGAATCCCAGCACCCACATGGCAGCTAACAACTGTCCATAACTCCAGTTCCGGGGGATCCGACAGCCTCTTCTGTCTTCTGCGGGCATTGCACGACACAGGTGCGCTTACCTATGTATGCAGGCATAACACTCATAAAATAAAAATAATAAATTTTTTTTAATTAAAAAAAAAGAAAACTGGACCTAACTTGGACTGTGCAGCTAATTTAGATATGTCATTATAACTTATTTGCTTGGCATTTTCCCCTTCAAATTGTCCTGTATTTTGTTTCTTCATAATACTGGTATGATTTAAGGCTTTATTCTAAGTAAGTCTGAGAAGATGACATGTCCTCAATGGAAATACCAGTTTTTCCTATTGGTACCTGAGCCATTTCATGGAAGGAGGATAATTATTGTTTTTAACCTTGCAGATCATTCAGCTGATTGAAGGCAAAGCCTCTGCTTATGTGTTTGCAAGTCCTGGATGTAAGAAATGGGATACTTGTGCTCCAGAAGTTATCTTACATGCTGTGGGAGGTTAGTCCATTTTTCCTTAGAAAATTTTGGTATTTATGCTCAGGCATTGTATTTCAATAACATTCATTCCCTAGCCTCCTAGGATACAAAAGCCTAGCAGTGATCCATCCCAAACTCCTCATTTACACACCAGCAAGGAGATTTTCCATGAACTTATTTTTCTTTAATTTATTGTCTTTGTGGGGGTTGATCTTCATGTAGTCAATTTAACCCTTATTTATTTATGGTTTTAATTGTTTTGTTTTGCTTTGTTTTGTTGAGACACAGTCTCGCTGTATCTCTGGCTCAGAACGCATTATGTAGCTCAGGCTGGCCTTGAATTTTTAGCAATCTTCCTGCCTCAGTCTTCTGAGGGCTGGGATTATGGGCATGTGCCACCACACTAAGCTGCTTTTCATTCTCCTAGAAGTTTTGTTTTGTTTTGTTTTGTTTTGAGACACGGTCTCCCTGTAGTCCCAGCTGGCCTGGAACTTACTATGTAGACCAGGCTGGCCTTGAACTTGCCGAGATTCACCTGCCTCTGCCTCCCAAGTGCTGGGATTAATGGCACACACCACCACACCCGGCTTGATTCTCCTAGAATTTTTTTTATTAGAAAGTAAAATATTTACCACAAGCATCACCTTGAGGTCCCTTAGGCCACTCTGATACCAGTGCTAAAGACTATAGAGGTAGAAAGTTTTAAAAACGGACTGATGGAGCTGGAGAGATGGTTCAGTGGTTACGAGTACTGGCTGCTCTTGCGAGGATGTGGCTTCAGTTCCCATCACCCACATGGCAGCTCACAACTGTCTATAACTCTAGTTCTAGGAGATCCAATGCCCTCTTCTGGCCTCCACAGGCACTGCACAGCATGATTGTACTTATATACATACAAGCAAAGTATTCATATGCATAAAATTAAATAAATCAAAAAAATCTTTTAAAATAAGCACAGTGGGTTAAGGTGTAGCTCAGTAGTAAAAAGTGCTTAATATGTGCCCTAGGGTCTGAAAGACAGACCCTTGAAACATCCTGATCCAGTCAGCTGTTAACTTAGAATGATGTTTCTCCTCCAGGGACGTTGACAGACATTCATGGGAACGCCCTCCAGTACAGTAAGGAGGTGAAACACATGAATTCTGCAGGAGTCCTGGCCGCACTGAGAAACTACGAGTACTATGCAAGCTGTGTTCCAGAGTCTGTCAAGAACGCACTTGTTCCGTGAAGGAACAGCTCGTTTCCTTACCCAGGAGGACTTGATTCTCAGTTACACACCTTAGAATCGATTGAACAAATCAGAGTTCCACCTTCATCCATCATTGATCAATGATTTATATTAGTAATTAGGGATAGAAAATAGTATAAAGAATTTCAGTTTATTGTAGTCTAATCCTCTTAGGACTTAGGTATATAAAAAATGTTGTCTTTTCTCCTGTTTAAAAACAAAAGGCCAGGTCTGGTGGCACATGCCTGTAATCATAGCTATTCTGATGGTTGAGCGAGGAGAATTGCTTGAGCCCAGGGCTCAAGACCAGTCTCAGCTACATAGCAAGATGTTGCCTTTTAAGAAAAAAATGTAGTTTTATTAATTAATCAGCCAGACCATTTGTTTTGACATCTGGAGAATTTTTAACCCAGTGTCTTAAATTTTCTTGTTTTTATGTGCAGACATGAAAAAAGGATTAGCTCCAACTGCCTGTCAGGTCATTTGTATAAATCAACATTCCTGCTTATAAGTCAGATTTCTTCCGGGCACAGAATCTCAAGTTGTTCCAGAATTTCACACTTGTTTTTCATTGTAATTTTAAAATGTCTTACTCTAATTGTTACTATATAAGATGTCATAAGATGTTATTATTTATGTTGGTAATAGATTTATGGGGAAAGTTTCTTCGTAGATTTCATACTATATACCAGCTTTTTTTTTTTTTTTTTTTTTGTTTTTTTTAATTTTTGTGAAGAACAAAGCAACAGAAAGAGAAGAGCTTGGGACTCATGACTTGTTTCTGTTAACAAAAAAAAACCTGCCTCTGCCTCCCAAGTGCTGGGATTAAAGGCGTGCACCACCATGCCCGGCTTATATACCAGCTTTCTAAAAAACTATTTGAAAATTATAAATATTATGGGGATTAATTTATTCTTGTGGTATTATTAAAAAGGCTTAACTGGAAACGGGTAATTTCCTTTATTCCTTCCAATGGGAGAGTGGAACATACATTATCTGTGATGGTTAACCTTGACCATCTCCTTGACTGGACTTGACTGAGAAGCCCTAGATTAGGAAATAAGTACTGTGTCTCCAGTAAGAATTAACTAAGCCACAGACCAGCTCTGGGCTGGGGGCCTGGATAGCGATCGTGAAAGGGAAAAGAAGAAAGCCAGCTGACACAGGCATTGTCTCTCCCTGTTTCCTGGCTCACCATGATGTGAGCTGCTCGGCTCACCACACACACCCTCCCACCCTGCATGAGCCAATAAACCCATTCTCTCCTAAATCTTTCCCTCAGGCATTTGTCCCAGCAACAGAAAAGGTTTTATTAATTCTTTGAGAATTTCATACATGCAAACAATATATTTTATTCATATTCATCACCAGCTCCCCACTCCTACCAAACTCCTCCCAGGTCCATCCACCCCCACCTCCCAACCCCTCCCAACTTGTCCTTATGTTTTAATAATTCACTGAGTCCAATTTGTGCTGCCCAGATATTCATGAGTGTGGGGCCATCCACTGGAGCATTGGCAATCTACAGGGAATACACCCAAAGAAAACTGATTCTCCCTGCCCAGAAGCCCTCTGCTTATAGCTCCTCAGCTATGGGTGGGAACTCTTGAGTACCTCCGTGTTCCATACTGGAATGTTGACTGACTTGATTTTTCACAAATCTTGTATAGGTAACCACAACTGCTGTGAGTTCATGATCTAGTGGTGTTATCCTGTTCAGGGGACACTGTTTAGCCCCAGTCCTCCCTAACCTCTGTCCATTACAATCTTTAACAGAAAAGTCTATCTAAAAAAAATAAATTTAAGCTCAGGGGGTGGGGGGGTGCACGCCTTTAGTCCCAGCACTCAGGAGGCAGAGGCAGGTAGGTCTCTGTGAGTTCAAGGCCAGCCTGGTCTACATAGCCAGTTCCAGGACACCTGGGGCTACAGGGAGACCCTGTCTCAAAAAAGACCAAAAAATAAAAATAAATAAATTTAGCCAGGCGTGGTACATGCCTTTAATCCTAGCACTTGGGAGGCAGAGGCAGGCGATTCTTTGTGAGTTTGAGGCCAGCCTGGTCTACATAGCAAGTTCCAGGCCAGCTGGGGCTACTGGGAGCCCCTGTTTCAAAAAGACAAAAAAAAAAAAAAAATTGTTTTCTTATTTTTAATTACCGGGAGTGAGATGTGTACATGTGAGTGCAGGTGCCCATAGAGGCCAGAAGAGGGCATTGGATCTCCTGGAGCTAGAGTTAATAGGTGGTTCTGAGCTACCCAATATGGGTGCTGGGAACTGAACTCAGGTCTTTTGCAAGAGCAGTCGCTCTCTTAACTTCAGAGCCATCTCTCCAGCCCCTCAGCCCCTAACAGAAAAGGTGTAACATACTATACTGCTCTGATATTATACCTAGATTTTCACATCTTTTCAACATTAGAGACTGAGCCCAAGGCCTCCTTGTATATACCAGGCCAGTGCTCTACCAACTAAACCATATCCCTGGTCTTGGACTATTTTACTTTCTAGGTCTTTGCTCATTCCTTTAAGTTTGTTTTTGGATAAAGCAAGTGGTTTAAGGTAACAGGAAGTACACCCACTGGGGGTATAGATCCATGATCCAGTGCATGCTTAGCTTGCTCAAGGCGCTGAGTTTCATCCCTAGCACCACAAAGGAAAAGTAGTTCCCTAATCCAGCTGCATATCAGAACCACCTGGTGAGAACTTTCCCAGCACACTGTTGGATTCTGTGTGCTTTGAGAAGGCTACTTTGAGCTTGTGGTGGCAGATGCCTGGAATTGCAGCTACTGGGGAAGCTGATAGGAAAGGACGGAGAGAACACCAGCTGGGCAATGCAGGGAGACACTGTTCTTTAAAACCCAACAGTGCTGCTCTTGGCACTTCCAGAATCGCTGTGTGGGACTCACTGGGATAAATGGCTTTAATTAATTAATTTATGTATTTATTTACTAATTTTTAATTTATGTGTATCAGTGTTATGCCTGCATGTATGTAAGTGTACCAGTGTTGTGCAGTGTCCAGTATGGACAGAAGAGGGTGTCGGATCCCTTGGAACTGGAGTTTCAAAAGGTTGTTAGCCACCGTGTAGGTGCTGGGATTCCAACCCGGGTCTTCTGTAAGAGCAGCCAGTGCTCTTAACCACTGAGCCATCTCTCCAGCCCCGATTTTATTTGTTTATTTTTACAGGACTATCATAGCCTGTAACTCCTGTGATTCTCCTCTTCTGATTTCTTTTCTTTTTAAAAGAAATTATTTGTTTTTAGTTTATGTGTACTAATGTTTTGCCCACATGTATGTAACTGCACCGCATACATGCAGTGCTCACAGAGGCCAGAAGAAGGTGCCAGATCCCCTGGAACTGGAGCTACAGAGGGTTGTGGATGCTGGGCACCCAACCCAAGGCCTCTTCGAGAGCAGCCAGTGCTCTTAAGTACTGAACCATCTCTCCCACCTCCTGATTTTTGGCTCCCTTTCAGTCTTCTTACTTTCTCTTTGTCTGTCCTCAGATGTCACTGTTCCCTGAGACTCTGCTCTGGGCCTAACACTTTTCCAATAGATTATCTAATGCTCCATGTGGCTCCATGTGAGGCCAGCCTGGGCTACAAGGTGAGTTCCAAGCTTTCCAGTGCTACAGAGTACGACTCTGTCTCAAGCAAACAAAACAACAACAAGCACAAAATGTCTGTCTGTTAGAATCTTAAATGTGGCCTGGTATGGTGATACTCAGCTGTAACTGGGACACACCAGATCCTGAGGCAGGAGGATCTTGAGTTTGAGGCCAGCTTTGGCTACATAGTAAGACCCTGTCTCAAACAACAAAACTCAAGCACTCGACCAAGGCCCATTTTGATATGTTTCAGGTTATCTCTCTTGATTGCTTCTAAACAGTTCTTCAGTCTTGCTCACACTGCCTTATTTTACAAACACACACTGATCCTGATAACGGGCAAAGTTTGAAAATCACTGCTTTAATTTGTTTTCTTCACTTATTTTAATCCATTTTTTCCTTGCTGGATCTGTGAACAACGAAATAAACCCAATTAAAAAAAAAAAATCAGGGCTGGAGAGATGCTCAGTGGTTAAGAGCACTGGCTCTTGCAGAGGACCTGGGTTCAGTTCCCAGCACCCACATGACAGTTAACAACAATGTGTAAATTGAGTTCCAGAGGAGCTAATGCCCTCTCTTGGCTCCCATAAGCATTGCATGACACAGGTGCACTTACATGCAGGCAAAACATTCATACACATAAAAATAATTTTTAAAAATCTTGGGCTGGAGTGATAGCTCAGTGGTTAAGAACATTTGCTGTTCTTGTAGAGGACCCAAGTTCGTCCCAAGGACCCACGTAAGGCAACTCACAACTGCCTTTTAACTCCGGTCCCAGGGGATCCAACACCCTCTTCTGCCTCTGTGGGTAATACCCCCATGCACATGTGCACACATACACATTAATAAATTTTTTTTAAAATCTGGGGTTGGGGCTGGGCGTGGTGGTGCATGCCTTTAGTCCCAGCACTCAGGAGGCAGTGGCAGGCAGATCTCTGAGTTTGAGGCCAGCTTGGTCTGCATAGTGAGTTCCAGGACAGCTGCTACTACAGGGAGACCCTGTCTCAGAAAGATCAAAAAAAAAAAAAAAAATCTGGGGTTGGGGCTGTAGCTCAGATGCTAGCATACACAGGCCCTGGGCTCATGAAAAAAAAAAAAAATCTCAGTGAAAGATGAAATATGTTTCCTGCAGTGTTCTGTATGAAAGCCAGACTTATGCAAATGAGATTCTTGGGGGGGGTATCTTCATTCTTGCTGCTGCATGAGTTCCCATTAGTGCTTCCTGTCACTATGTAGACCAGGCTGGCCTTGAACTTAGAGATCCACTTGCCTCTGCCTCCAGAGGGCTGGGACTAAAGGCGTGCGCCACCCCCACCCCCTCCACCCCCGCTTAAAATTTATTTATTTATTTGTTTGTTTGTTTGTTTTTGGTCTTTTTGAGGCAGAGTCTCTCTGTAGCCCCAGCTGTCCTAGAACTCACTATGTAGACCAGGCTGGCCTTGAACTCACAGAGATCCATCTGCCTCTGCCTCCCAAGTGCTGGGATTAAAGTCATGTGCAAACCTCCCCCCACAATTTATTTTTTTAGAATATTCTGTTAAAGACTGTAAGGGACAGAGGTTAGGGAGGACTGGGGCTAAACAGTGTCCCCTGAACAGGACAAGACCACTAGACCATGAACTCACAGCAGCTGTGGTTGCCTAGACAAGATTTGTGAAAAATCAAGTCAGTTGACACGTGTGCCACCATGCCTTTTCAGCTTCTTTTCTTATACAGCCCAAGCCCACCTGCCCAGGGATGGCATCACTCAGAGTGAGCTGGGCCCTTCCTATCAACAATTCAGAAAAGGTCCCACAGACATGCCCACAGGCCAGTGTGATTGAGGAAATTCCTCAGTTGAGGTTCCTTCTTCCCAGGTGACTCCAGTTGGTGTCAAGTTGACAAACATTAATCAACACACTCCCCAGGGTCACTGCAGTAACATCCTGGGCTAGTCTGCCTGGCTGTAACTGCTATAACACACCTATCACAACATCTGCAAAGGGCTTTTTCAACAATCAAGGTGCCTCTATCCAAAGTCTATTGTGGCTGTGTTTTTGCCTTCAGGAGAAAATTGAAGTTTTGTTTTGATTTTTTAAAAAAATATTTTATTTATTATTATTTTTTAGCAGATCATAGGGTAGGAGTTATTTACAGAAGAATGAGCACCCGACATTTACGGCTGCATCATAAAGTCCACACTCAAATACAGATCCTGTGAAAATTGAAGTTTCTTAGAAAATATTTATTTTTATTTTGTATGTATGAGTGTTCTCCTTGCATGTATGTACCTGCACCCATGTCATGCAATTCTCAAAGAGGCCAGAAGAGGGTGCTGGATCCCCTGGAACTGGAGTTATAAACAGTTGTTAGCAGCCATGTGGGTGCTGGGAATTGAATCAGAGCCCTCTGGAAGAACAGATGTTTTTAACCACTGAGCCATCTCTTCAGTCCCACAACTGAAGTTCTTTATAATGGTGTGTGGAGTTCATCTCTGTCCAGCATCAACTCTGATTACCATACCATAGCCATACCCAACCATTTGAAGTCTACCCCCAAGACAAGACCCTCCATTCATCAACAAATACTCTTTCAGCACTTAGTGTACTTGGGCATTCAATACAGATACTGACCATTCATCAGTGGAGGTAGCCCTGACTGGAAGTCTGTTCCTGTGTTGAGTTCCTGTTCTTCTGACACTAGTAAATCATTGTGTTAACTCCTCTAAAAGAAATTGCTTAGGGAAGTACTAGAAGCAAGTGGGGTGCAGCTGGAGAGCTGGAAGGGAATTTTTTCTGCATGAAGGAAGGATGTCTTCCCTGCAGAGGTGATGTCTGAGCTGAGAACAAGACAAAGTAGTAGTTTAGTCATGCTTTGAGTTGAGATTTCTTGTGGGAATAGCAAGCATGTCTCTGAGAAGGAAAGGAAACAGAAAGGCAGCCACAATGGCTAGAGTAAAACAAGAGAAAGAATATGAAATGAGGTTGGCGGGGCTGGAGAGATGGCTCAGTGGTTAAGAGCACTGGCTGCTCTTGCAGGTGACCAGGGTTCTATTCCCAGCACCCACATGGAGGCTAACAATAGTCTGTAACTCCAGTTCCAGGGGAATCTTGATTCCCTCTTCTGACCTCTGATGGTATTGCACAACACGGGTGGATGCACTTACATATATGCAGGCAATACACTCGTGCACATAAAATAAAAATAATTTTTTTAAAAAAGAGAAAACAAAGCAAGACAAAACAAAAAACAGATACTTTTGCCAACTCTGTAGGCTGGCTGTATATAAAAATAGCCATCTTCTTTAGTGAGTTCTGCGGGAAGGATGTGTACAAGTAACTACTCAGTAGTGCGTGAGACATTCCAGTTTCCCTAATGCAAACAGGGACACATTAGAGAAGCTAGGAGAAAGTGGGGGTGGAGATGTGCTGGCTTCTAGAATCAGTCCTGGTCCCTGGAGCTTGAACATCGGTCCTTCTTAAATGTCTGGGGCAAAGACCAAAAAAAAAAATACTATTTACATCACAGCGTTTACTATTTACCCTCACAGTGCTAGTGAGAGGCAGTGGGGGTGGGGGCTTTTTCTCCTCTTGTTTTTCCTTGTCTTTTTTTCTTTTAGTCTTTTTGAGACAGGGTCTCCCTGTAGTCCTAGCCTGGAACTTACTATGTAGACCAGGCTAACCTTGAACTCACAAAGATCCGCCTGCCTCTGCTTCTCCAGTGCTGGGACTAAAGGCATTCACCACCAGGCCTGGCTTCTTCCCTTTCAAACCTGCCTCCCAGCTGCTGGGATTACAGAATCACCTCTGGCTTCCAAGTAATTCTTTTGGGAAAAAAAAAACAACAACCCTGAAGCTTCCTCGTTTCCCAGTGTAACCCATCAACTTTGTGTGGGTTTTTTTCAAGGTTTTTTTCCTACTATTTATTAACACCGTTCCCATCAGGGGGTGGGAGATTTTACACCCTTTCTCCCATGAGAAATTAGTCTCAGGATTCCACTTCCTTCGCTTTATGATTTTTAAAAAATAAACATTCTTTTAGAGATTATTTTTAAATTTTATTTTTATTCCATGTTTTGCCTGCATGTATTGCCGTGTAGTGCAATGCCGCCCAGGTCAGAAGAGCCCTTTGGATTTCCCTGGAACTGGAGTTAAGGACGGTTTGTAGCCTCCATGTGGATGCTGGGAACGGAACCCGGGTCCTCTGCAAGAGCAGTCAGTGCTCTTAACCGCTGAGCCATCTCTCCAGCACCCTTAAACATTCTTTTAGAGATTATTTTTTAATTTTACTTTTATTTTATGTGTTTTGCCTGCATGTATATTAAGTACAGCCCTGTCGCGCAATGCACGCGGAGGTCCGAAGAGGACGTCGGATCTCCTCGAAGTGGAGTAACAGCTGAAGGCAGCCAGTACCCCTAACCTCTGACCCATCTCGCCAGGCTCTCGCTTTACGATTTGTCGTAAAGAATGCCTCCTTTTCTACAGCGGTGAAACCTGACCCGCAGTCAAGGGAAGGGAAGGGGCGGGGCGGGGGCGGCGCTCCGTGATGACGCACAATGGCGCGCACCGTGACGCACGGTCACGGCTGAGGGGAGGAGCGAAGGCTGCGGTGGTGTCCGGCTTGAGCACACGTTGCATCGTCTCTCTTCCAGCCCAACTCCGGGAAGGCGGCCGGCCGGGTGGACCCGCACGCTGGACGATGGCGGCGCTGAGCCTCACGGTGGACGCCGGAGCCCCTCCGCTGGGTAAGGCCGCGTGTGGGTGGCATCAGCCGGGGGTGCGGCGCCGCATGCCAGCGCGGCTGCCCAAGGCCCGCCGACCCGGGCGCCCGGAGGGACGCGGCGGAGCGGGGCCGGCGTGTCCGAGACTGCTCGGACCTGGCGGGCCGACTCCGCCCGCGCTCCTCTGGAGCCTGCGTTCCTCCCCACCGCCCGGGAAGGTCTCGGTTCCCTCGCCCCGACTTCCTTTAGGCTTTGCCGAGTTCAGAAGAGCAAGGTAGACAGACTCCTGGCGGCGCTTGGGTATTTAACTGAGGCTGCATTTCTTGCTAGATGAAGGCTGTAATTGCAGAAAGCCACAAGCACGCTGCAGACTGGCTGGGGCCGCCCTACCACAGTGTTGTAAATGTCAGGCTACGTCATCCTAGTTGCAGTCGGAATTGATTTTTCAAAGCGGCCAGCGTTATTGAAGTTATATAGCGTAGGGCTTCTGTTTCCTCACTACCAAATAATTTATTGACCTCGTGTATATATATGTACAGTGTAGACATGGGAGGTAATTTGTGTGCTCAGGAAGCCCAGCCCTTTCAGTACAATTGGTCATATGGAGCCAGTGAAATTTTTTGTTCCATTCTCAACGTTGGTAGTGGTCTGAGCCTATTAGAATGAAAACAGACATTATATATTTACTCACTATTTTTGTGGTGCTGGGATAGAGTCCAGGGCCCCCTACAAAATATAATGTAATAGCCTTTTGAAATACTTAAAATGATGACATTTTAGCATATCAGTTCCAGTACCTATGTGAGTTCACAAGAAAGAGTGAACTCTAAAAGCGAATTTGGTCCTTGATCAGGAAAGGCCGTAGACGACGTGGCCTCATGGTTAAGAGCACAAAGGCCTCAGGCCTGGTTGCTGATTATTAGTTGTGGAAGCATGACAGGTTCCTTGTTGAGTTTCCCCCTTTAAGAAAAGGTTGTATGTGTGTGAAGGGGAGCGCTTCTGTATAGTGTTGGTTGCCAGAATTGAACAAGACTGCAGGAAAAGTTCTGCCAGATTTTAGATGCTTTGTGCAGAGCTATAGTTTCTACTAATATTACTTAGAAAATCATTGTGGTGGGGGCACTGGATCTGTTTCCATAATGAATTTTAGGACTCAAAACTACATTCCGCCAGTATTCTGGAACTTTTATTTTGCACTATAGGCCAATTAGAGAACGTTATTTTTTGGCTTGCTCCTCTTCTCTTTTTAATTTTTCTCATTTAAATCAAATACGTTTTATGTTTAATAAAATTAGATGAAATATGTAGAAAAATGGATTATAATATGAGACTCTTGTCGTGTCATTTTTTTAACGTTAAGATACTTTCAGAAAAACCTAAAGATGCAAGCATACAACAGAACTTCTTTTCCCATCCTGTCTCAGCACATACTGCAGATTTGATGCTTCAGCACCCAGAATACTTGAGTGTATGTCTTCTATAAGCAAGGACTCTCTACCTGACCTCATACACCCATCAAAATCAGAAAACATACAGTGATAAAACTCTTAATCCTAATGACAGAGCCCATTATTGTTCTAATCCTAACTGCTCTAGTAGTTCCTGCCAGAGGCAGGGACCATGGCTTGTCTGTCCTTCACTGTCCTGTCTTCCCAGCTTCTTTCACTGTGGAATGATTTATTCTCCTTCCCTTGGTTTTAGTAGCTTTGGCCTCTGAAGATGACAAACCACTTCTTAAATACCCTTAGTTGGGTTGTATGATGTTTCCTTGTGCCCGGATTCCGGGTGTGCCTCCTGGTCGGGAATGGCTTGCCCATGCTTTGTTATTTTCATTTCTGCCCAGCAGTTGGTGCATGTATTTAATTTTCCCCTTCTGCCCTCGATCACTTAGGTGCTGCATGCTAGCTTTCCTTTGAGAGCTTTTCCTTTGAGTTAAAGGCATTTGAACGAGGAGAACCTTGGAACCATGAAACAAACATTTCTCTTTTCCTGAAAACTTTACCCACTGGTTTTGGCACCTGTTGGTGTGTCTGCCTAACTTGATTGTTTTGATGGCCTTCAAATGGTGACCTTCCAATGCTGCATTTCCTTCTACATCTGTCAGCATTTTTTTTCCTCTGTTAAAACTAATAGGGGCTGGAGAGGTGATTCAGCAGTTAAAAGCACTGGCCGCTCCTCCAGAGGACACAGGTTCACTTCCCAGTATCCATATGGTGGCTAACAGTCAACTGTAACTTCAGTTCCAGGGTATCCGACGTCCTTTTCTGGCCTCTGAGGGCATTGCACACATAGGTGCACTTACATGCATGCAAAACACTCATACACACAAAATAAAAATAAATTAAAAAATTAAGGCTCATAGCAAATATACTTGATATATTACTTTCATTTTCCATTTAAAATTAAGTTTAAGGGAGAAAGGGCTCAGTAGTCAAGAGCAGTGACTACTCTTCCAGAGTACTCGGGTTCAGTTCTCAGTATTAACATGGTGACCGACAACTGTCCATAACTCCAGTTCCAGGGGATCTGATGCCCTCTTCCGGCCTCTGCTGGCAGTGCACACATGTGGCACTTCCATGCTTTCAAAACACTCATACATATAAAATAGAACTAAATTTAAAACAATTTTAAGCTGGGCATGGTGACTCATGCCTTTAGTCCCAGCACTTGGGAGGCAGAGGCAGAGGCAGGCAGATCTCTGTGTTCAAAGCCAGCCTGGCTATGAAGCGAGTTCCAGGTCAGCTGGGGCTACAGGGAGACTCTGCTCAAAAAAACAAACAAAAATTTTTTTTTTAAGAATTAGTTGAGTTAGTGCTTGCATGTATTTAAGCTCACCAGTTTTGTGTTTTAATATATACAGTGGGGTGTGTGTGTATGTGTGTGTACAAACATATATGTACTATATAAACCTCTATAACAATAATACCAGATATTTTCGTTACTGAAACCTCCCTCATCCCCCTTTGTATCTTCTGTCTTCCTGGCATCTGGTAGCCAGAGACCTGATTTTTAATTTTCATCACTTTTTTTTTAGGGTTTTGTATACATTGATGCATACCTTTTTTTTTTTTTTCTGTCTTTGAGACGGTCTTCCTGTAGCCCCACCTGACCTGGAACTGGCTATGTAGACCAGGCTGGCCTTGAACTCACAGAGATCCACCTGCCTCTGCCGCCCAAGTGCTGGGATTAAAGGTGTGCACCACCATGCCCAGCTTATATAATCTTTTATACATAGGATTGTGATTTTGAGATTCATCAATCTTGTTGTTACAGAATTCCATCGTGTAGATCTATTAGAACATTTACTTGGGTGGCCAAATCATTCTGATTTGTCCTTCCAAATTTGTGTCTTTATTTTATGTGTTTGAGTTTTCAGCCTGTGTGTATGTATGTGTGCCATGTGTGTGCAGTGCCCAGGGAGTCCAGAAGAAGGTGTTGGAGCATCGGGAACTGGAGTCACAGACAGTTGTGAGTTACTATGTAGGTGTTGAGCCTAGGACCTCAGGCATGCTAGGCTAGCCTTGTACCACTGGGCTATATCCCCAGCTTTTTTTTTTTTTTAATATTTTACTTATTATTTTTATTTTCTGTGTATGAGTGTATTGCCTGCATGTATGTGAATGCACCATGTCGTGCAATGCCACGGAGGTCAGAAGGGGGCTTCAGATTCCCCTGGAACTGGAGTTAAGGACGGTTTGTAGCCGCCATGTGGGTGCTGGAAATCGAGTCTGGGTACTCTGCAAGAGCAGTCAGTGCTCTTAACCGCTGAGGCATCTCTCCAGCCCCTGTTTTTGTTTTTTGTTTTTTTAAAACAAGGTTTCACTTTGTAGCAGTGGTTGGCCTGGAACTCACTATGTAGACCAAGCTAGCCTCAAACTTACAGAGATCTTCCTGAGTGCTGGAACTAAAGGTGTGAGTCACCACACTTAGCCCTTTCTTTTAAAAAAATAGGGTCTTCTGTAGCCCAGGCTGCCTTGAAGTCCTTATTTCCTGTCTCAGCCTCCCAAGTGAGGGATTTACAGGCATCATGGTTTCCCCTACAGGACCCATTTCTTTTTCTTTTTTTTTTTTAAATATTATTTTTATTTTATGTCTGTGTGTATTGTCTGCACATACGTGTGTGTACTGGATCCCCAGGGGCATCATGGTTCGTCCTACATGACCTATTTCTTTTCTTTCTTCATTTCTTTTTTTTTAAATATTATTATTTTTATTTTATGTGTGTGTATTGCTACACATATGATGTAGGTGCACCGGATCCCCTAGAACTGTATATTATGGATGGTTGTGAGCTGCCATGTAGGTGCTGGGAATCAAACCTGGCTTCTTAGCAAGAGCAGCCAGTGCTTCTTTGCTTTTCCTTTCCTTTCCTTTCCTTTCCTTTCCTTTCCTTTCCTTTCCTCTTTTCTTTTTCTTTTTCTTTTTCTTTTTCTTTTTCTTTTTCTTTTTTTGGTCTTTTTGAGACAGGGTCTCCCTGTAGTCTCAGCTGGCCTGGAACTAGCTCTGTAGACCAGGCTGGCCTTGAACCACAGAGATCCTCCTGCCTGTGCTTCCCGAGTGCTGGGATTATGCCAGGCCTGTGCTCCTAACTGCTGAGCAGTCTCTCCAGCCCAGGACCCATTTCTTAATACTGTGACAGAGACAACTGAATTTCAATGTAAGTTTTTAGAGGTGAACAAACCTTGAAGCTAAGAACTTGCTTTTTAGTACAGTTAGATTTTCAGGTTTATTTTGTGCTCTTCCTTGATAGGGCCCTGTTTCCAGTGGAACAGAAGTGTTTAGAATGAGTGTCAGAGTGGTAGTTGTCTGTCCTATCCTAACCAAATTAAGGGACAGAAAATGAGTGAACTCACTAAATTGTTACGTGTTTTATGTGTTGAAAGGCAGTATTATAAGATGTTTTAGAATTTGAAGTCTGAACCACTTCAACCTGCATTCAAATGCTGACTGATAGATGCTCTGCTAAGGGCATTGGGCTCCCTATTTAACCTTTCTAAGCCTCAGTTTCCTTTATGTAAGTGGGTATCTACCTCTTACGGTTATTACAGAGACTAAAAGTTGGCAGAGCATTTGCTGTAGTACATGAACACATAGTATTCAAATCCTGTTGACTTTTATAGAAAACATTATTCTAGTTTCTTCCTGTCTTGTGAGGGAAGAAAAGATTAATTTTAGTGCCGCTAACTGGAAGCCGAGCATATTTCAAAGCAGTTGGACTATACTAAAAATGGATTCTGATTTGTTACTTCTCTAAGAAGATCAGACCTTCTGTCTGTAGACAACTTGGGAAATTTCATGCCATACAGTACTTAATATTGGATTGTTGACTCATCCTTACTGCGCTGTGACTCAAGTTATAAATACCACACCGCTTTTGAAGAGAAGTCAATCTTCTGTTGTTTTTAGAAGCTCTGCTGGCAGCAGAACATGTGAAAGGTGATGTCAGCGTTTCTGTGGAAGAAGGGAAAGAGAATCTTCTTCGTGTTTCTGAGTAAGTGCTTTTTATATGTGCTTTCAGTACTGAACAGCATTTGTGGGCTTGTTTTACTTGGTAATTAGGTGATTGTTCCTAGAAAGAAGGACATGGCATCATTTGTGTGCAAGTCTGTGTGTTCCTGTGGAGGAAGGTGTGAGTGTGTGTAGAGGCAGAGGTCAGCCTCCGATGTCTTTCCTCTAGACTTGTCTACCTTTTTATTTGTTTTTGTTTTTTGATTTTTGTTTGGCTTTTGTTTTAAGACAGAGTCTCACTGTGTAGCCCTCACTGGCTTGGAACTCACTATGTAGACCAGGCTGACCTCAAAACTTAGAGATCCACCTGCCTCTGCCTCCTTAGTGCTGGGATTGAAGGTGTGTACCACCATACCGGGCCTATCCACCTTACTTTTGAGACAGATTCCTTCATCACTGGCCTGGAGCTCACCAAGTAGGCTAGACTGGAATTACAAGTGTACATCTCCACGCCCTGCTTTTTTATGGCATGGGTACACTACTGTGCTGGGCTGCTCGCTGCTGTCTTTAAAGTTAAAGGGGAAAATGGGATTGGGGTTATGGCTCAGTGATAACAGAGTGGTCATACCTTGTTTGAGGCCCTGGGTTCCCTAAGCAGCACTACAAGAGAAAAATAAACATTAAAGGCTTTCTGCCTAAGTTTCAGTGCTATACTGGGCCGAGGCAGGAAAATCTTGAGTTCAAGGCCAGCCTAAGACGTTGTGAGATCCTACCTCAAAAAATAACAGGGTCAGTAAATTGGCCCAGCTTAATCCCCAGAACCCACATGATGGAAGGAGAGAACCTGCTCCTGCAGGTTGTCCTTTGACTCCATATATGCGCTTTGGCACACATGTACCCATGTACAAAATAAATAAATATAATTTTAAAAAATTATTTTTAAATTTTATCTGTGTGCGTGTATTGCCTACATGTAGGTAAAGTGCACCTGTGTCATGCAGTGCCCACAGAGGACAGAAGAGGCTCTCAGATCCCCTGGGACTGGAGTTATGGACAGTTGTTAGCTGCCATGCAGGTGCTGGGATTTGAACCCAGGTCTTTTGTAAGAACAGTGTTCTTAACCGCTGAGCCATCTCTCTAGCCCCATAAATGAAATTTTTTTAAGCCCACAAAAAAGAACCTAAAAGATGAAGTGTCATGGAAAATCTGCTCTGAAGTGGGTTAGTGAATTACCTGGATACTTCAGAACAAATTGGAATTTGATAGAAATAGAGTAAGAAGAATTTAGCATCTTTTTTTTTTTTCTTTTTACTGTGGTAGAGATAATATGGTGGATTAGAATTTCCACTTTCACACTTCTTCATGACTTACTAGAGAAACTGTAATATTTCGCTTCATGTTTAAATTCTAGAAATGTGGTGTTCACTGACGTAAATTCCATCCTGCGCTATTTAGCAAGGGTTGCAACTACTGCTGGGCTCTATGGCACCAACCTGATGGAACACACCGAGGTAAGCAGGGAGTGTTTATTTTCTTGTGCGTGTTATATCTTCTGCTTCTGATGTTTGGGAAGGACCCCATCTTTTAGTGCATTCTCAGGTATCATTGTTTTACTTAAGGACAGTAGTGTTTGTGGTTGGTTATTTTTTTAAACCTGAGACAGGATCTCTTTATGTGGCCCAGGTTAACCTATCACTTGTGTGGCCTGGGCCTTGAACTTATGATCCTCCTGCCTCTGACTCCTGAAAGGATTCAGATGTGTACAACCACACCTAGTTTCATTGTATTTTTATTTTCAGGAAAAAAGCCTTAGAGCTGATCGTGGCTCAGGAATAGACTTCTTAAATTAGTATGCACAAGACCCTGGGCCAGATCCCCAGCCACAAAGAAATTAATGTTTTTAGTTCTTAAGTTTCAGTGTCTCCACATTAACCAACTGTCCTTTGGGTCATTTGTTGCTGTCCTTCCTGGGTTCCTAGAATTTAGTAGCCGGTGGTGCTGTCTAGCTCACGTCAGTCAGCTTCAGGCATAGAAATGTTGAGGGATTTGCTCTCAGTAACACAAAGTTTGGAGCTCTTTTTTTTGTTTGTTTTTTGTTTTTTTGTTTTTAGTAAATAATTAATTACAATGATAATAGATAAACTGTCAGTGTCGCTCTGTAGATGCATTTTTTCTCCTGTTTGTGTTTTACCCTAATTTTTGTAAATCACATACAATTCAAAAATAACTTTTTCTGTTTTTTAGTTTCTTGAGACAAGTTCTCAGGACGTAGCCCAGGCTGATGAGCCCCTGCCTCTGCTTCCAGAGTGCTGGGATTCCAGGATTAGAAGCATGTGCTGCCATGCCTGGCAGGGGATATTTTTTAGCTATTGACTTTTAGATTTCTTTAAGTGGATTCATTTGTCTGGCTAGGTAGCATTTTTGGGTTGCTCCAGGTTAGTTAGTTGTTCCCCCTCCCCCTCCCCCCTGGAACTCACTTTGTAGAGCAGGCTGGCCTCCAACTCACGCTGGGATTAAAGGCGTGCGCCACCACGCCTGGCCATTCTTCTTTTTTTGGTCTTTTTGAGACAGGGTCTTCCTGTAGCCCCAAGTGGCCTGGAACTCGCTGTGTAGATCAGACTGGCCTCAAATTCACAGAGATCCACCTGCCTCTGCCCCCCCCCGAGTGCTGGGATTAAAAGCTTAATTAGTTCCTTCTGCTGTCAGTATTTATTTTTCTTGTTCTTTATTCAGGTGTTCCTTAATAATTCTGAAAAAATTAAGAAAAAAGAAAAAAAAAGGGTATAGGAAAATAATAGCAAAATGTGACATTTGTTTAAGTGTCATTTTAGATCCCAGGTAACCAGAATTTAGCTCACATGATGATACATTCTAAACTTAGATGAAAACTGTTCGGGTGGGAAGCCAAGAGTGTTTTGTTGGTCTAGTTAACTAGCATTCTTTCTTCCCTTTGTTTTGAAGCCTGAACTCTGAGGCACATTTCTTCTCATCTTTGTGTTCACAGATTGATCACTGGTTGGAGTTTAGTGCTACGAAATTGTCTTCATGTGATTTGTTTACTTCTGCAGTGGACGAGCTCAATCATTGCCTGTCTCTGAGAACATACTTGGTTGGAAACTCCTTGACCTTAGCAGATTTGTGTGTTTGGGCCACCCTAAAAGGTACCAGTACCTTCTTAAAATAGTGAGTTTTTTGAATGGGGCTGGCCTTGAACTCCTAGGCTTAGGCAGCCCTTCTGCCTGTAATTGGGACTACAGAGCCACACCACTGTGCCCAAGTAGCATATTCTTTTTTGGTCATTTAACATTTTGCTATATGAAAAGTACATGCATTTTCGTATCTACGTACATATGTATATGCACTTGTGTGTATATGTTTAGGTAGTAACAAGATTTTTTAAAAAACTTTTTAAACTGTTTTTGTTTGTGTGTGTATGTGTGTATACACATGTGTGCCTGCTTGTTTGTATGTGTACCATGAGTGTGCAGACCAGAACTGAGTGTTAGAGCCCTTTGAGCTGAAGTTACAGGTGGTCATGAGCCACCCAGTGTGTGTGCTGGGAGTGGAATCTGGGTCCTGTATGAAAGTAGTATTTGCTCTTAACCACTGAGCCACCTCTTCAGCACCATTTAGGACTCCCCACTGAAGAGTATCTGGCTTTCTTGTTCCTAGTCACAGATGCTTTTGGTCACTCTTTCCCTAACCTCTCTTGCTCAGTAGGACTGGATCAGGGGCAGAGGTAGTGAGGTAGTTTGAAGTGTCATGCTTCTGGTATATCACTTTTTTCTTAGTTTGCAACAGATGAAATGTTTTTACCAACTTGAGAAAACAGTTAACTTAAAAAACAAAACAAGCTGGGTGTGGTGACGCACGCCTGTAATCCCAGCACTTGGGAGGCAGAGGCAGGCAGATCTCTGTGAGTTCAAGGCCAGCCTGGTCTACATAGTGAGTTTCAGGACAGCTGGGGCTACAGGGAGACCCTGCTTCAAAAAGACCGGAAAAAAAACTTGATGCTTGAGGGCTAAGGCAGAGTTTGAGGCCAGCCTGCCCTACACAGTGAGACTCCATCTCAAAAATTAATTAAAGCAAGGTGTGGTAGCACATATCTGCAAAAAAAACAAACAAAAAAAAGAACTTCCTGCCTGGTGTGGTGGCTCATACCTTTTATCCCAATCTTGGTGAGGCAGAGGCAGACAGATCTCTGTGACTACTCATTATGTAGCCTACATAATGAGTTTCAGGTCAGCTAGGGCTACAATGAGATCCTGTTTCAAAAAACAAAACAAAAGAATGTCCTGAGGTATAGTTGATAATGAAATCTGTATGGTGGTGCTTTTACCACTATCAGCAGTGCATATACACCATCTCTAACGGCAGACATCTGAGGGAGGCCCCAGCAGTCTTAGTTAAGGGGACAGGCGTTTGGGGAGAAGAATTTATGGTAACAAGGAAAAGATTGACGCGTCAGTCAGTCATACACTTTAGACTTAATGTAAGCAAAGACGAAGTCCGTGATTTTTGGAGTACAGTTACAAGGATTTTTGTGACGAGATCACTGAAGGCATAAGACAAAAAGATTCAGAACCTTTAAAAAATGTAATTATGAATGTGTAGTGGTGATGGGGCTTGTGTAGAGGACTACAATCTAAAAGTTCAATATATGAGAAAATATGGATTATTGAAGATTACTTAGAGGGTATAGGAAGACAGGCTTTGGCATTTAGAGGCTGTAGAAGCCTTTGATTTATAAAAGCTTAAGGTGCATGAATTGGCTTAGAAGAGAATTATATGTCTAACTCTGAACAAAATCACCAATGTAGAGTTGAAATGAGGCCGAAGGGTGGCTCTGTACATGAACAGAAAATTCCAAAGTAGGAGAGATGGAATTGATGAGGGATGGAGGGACTTGGATTGAGTATTTTCTTAAAACAACCCTGAAGAAAGTGGGCTGGAGTGTTGCTTGTTCTTACATCTGGGCTGCTCTACACACATCGCTATTTCATAGTCTCTCTACTTGTGTTTTGAACTCTCCTCCAAATCACTGTAGTAACTGACACAAAATGAAGGCCTTTTCTAAGTGGACTGAACTTTTCATATCTACCTTCATGCATCTCTTCAGATAGGGTCTTGCTTCTTCATAGCCCAGACTGGTCTGGCACTCCAGACCCTCTCTTCAGCACCCCGCCTCCCACTGTGGTTTTGAAATGTTGAAGAGCTGAGTAAACTGTCATTCAGTACTTACCTTTTTAGTTACATGTGCAGAAAGGAACTGCTTCTTGAGTACCATGGTTTCTGTTGTTTTTTTCACTTGATGAATTCCAGCTCCCTTGATTGTGAGCTGAGCTCACGCACTGAGTATGTGGTGGTGATGAGGACAGGATCCAGTGTTAGAGAACCTGAGTGAATGCTACTGAAAAGGTCAGGGTGTTTTGTTTTAGTTTTGAGATGGGGTCTTCGTAGATAGCCTACAGTGGCTTCAAACTGTGGACCCTGGTCTCAGCCTCCTGGGTGCTGGGATGATAGGGTGCTGCCGCCATACCTGGCCTTGGAATGAAAAGTAGTAACTATTAACATCTCATTACAGAGGTACAACTTTAATCTCATTTACTTAAATTAACTATAACTGGAACTTTGCTTTAGAATTTGCCAGTTTATTAAATGTTTTTAAAATTCCTCTCACTAATAGGAAATGCTGTGTGGCAGGAACAGTTGAAACAGAACAAAACTCCCATCCATGTTAAACGCTGGTTTAGCTTTCTTGAAGCCCATCAGGCCTTCCGTTCAGTTGGTGCCAAGTGGGATGTTTCAGCAAACAAAGCTAGAGTGGTAAGCCTTTAAAACATTAAAATTTTTATTACATTTGTCTTTTTTTGCTGTGTATGTGGGTGGGCGTGCCTGTGCTACACCTTCGTGTGGCGGTCAGAGGACAAGTTGGGAGTCAGTTCTCTCCTACTTCATGGGTCCCAGGGGTTGAACTCCTGTTTCTGGTTTGGCAGCAGGCACCTTTACCTGCAGAGCTATCTCACTCGCCCTAAAGTTTTTTTTTTTTTTTTCCTGATGTCTCAGTCAGACTCCAGGTCTAAAAAGTATGTATTCTCAGTTGTAAAGCTTATTTTCTAGGTCTGGGAATATAGCTTGATGACAGTACCTAGCATATTCATGGTCCAGGGTTTGCCGTGGCACTGCTTAAAAAACCCCAGAAACAGTATTTTCATTAACAAAAAAGGATCTTAGAAGTGTCTATCATTAAGTCTTAGTATGTCTTTTCCTGTTCATCTGCATAAAGCTCTGAATTTTATATGTCTGAAAAATGATCTCTCCTGATATAGTATAGCTCCTTAGGCCGAGCAGACTCCAAATACCCTTTACAGCCACTCCATTGTCTTTCTCCTCCCAATCTTCTCCCATTTTGACTGGTTGGGTTGTTCCTGGGATTCTGAAGAGCCTCCCTGGATTCAGTCAGAGAGGTCCTCATCCCAGATGAAGTCATTGTAATTTGATCTGCTTTACATACTAGGCATGGATAGTAAAGTTTTCTGGTTACAGTAAAAATTGTGAACATTGCCTGCTGGGATAAAGGGGCCAGATTATCCTCATCTGCCTTCACTAAAGATCTTTACTTACCTTGTACCATTATTCCCTATCTAATAGGTCAACAAGTCCTATCATTACATATCTAGAGATTTCCTTTCTGTCTGTCCTTACTGTTTGTTGCTTTTTGGCTGAGGCTTCATGTTTTCCTGCTTTATTAAATACCATAATGTCATAGCTGAGCTTTTCCCCCTTGATCTCATCTCTAGTTCTGTCTCTGTACTCTCCTGGGTATTATGTTAGAAAATGAAAATAATATCCAGGCATGATGGTGCACTGGGGAGGCAGGAGCAGATGGATCTCTGAGTTTGAAGCTAGCCTGATTTATATAGTGAGTTCCAGGTCAGCTGGGGCTGAAGGGAAACCCTGTCTCAAAAGATCAACCAACCAACCAAAAAAAGAAATGCAAATAAACATTTCCATTACTGCCAAGGATTCCCCATTACTTACAGCTTAAAGCAGAAATTGAGCATTCCCTCATGTTTGGATCCAGTCTGTTCTGGCTTCGTGTCAGTGTGTCCAGCGTATGTGGACTTCTGTCTTCTCCCTGCCTTTGTGCTGCCCCCTCCATCTGACACAGTGCTCCTTCTCAAGAGCCAGCTTGGTTCTCATATTCTGTCATGCTTTCCTGGTGACGCATGTCTACTGCTTCACTGGAGCTGACAACTCGTATAGCACCCTCCACTATTTCTGCTACCTGGTGTTTGGTTTTCTTCATTTTCTCTACTAGGTTTGGAGTCTTTAAGTGCAAGGACGATCTGTGTCATCTGCTCATAACCGGTATTTGGTGAATGAGTGCGTTCTTACATTTAGCCTTGTGACTTTGTTGTGTTTTTTAGGTACCTGACAAAAAACAAGATATTGGGAAATTTGTTGAGCTTCCAGGTGCGGAGATGGGAAAGGTCACCGTCAGGTTTCCTCCAGAGGCCAGTGGGTAAGGAAGTCCAGTTTGTGTATATAGCTGAACATTCTTAGTGGGAAAGCTTTGGAGAAGGTACTAAATTATTATTATTAAAATATTAACATCACTAGATTGATACAGAAGAATATGACATTTCAGGGTGGGGGTTCAGATGTAAGCATCCTAATAGTTTCTAATTGTTTACAGTTTATGCTTGTCTGTAGATTTTAAGGCAATAGGAGAGTTGACGTTTAAAGTTTACACTGCAGTTTTAAATATAAACAAGAAAATACAGAAAAATTTAAATATAAATAAGAAATGTCCCTTTATAGAAAAACTTAAATTTTATTATATTTTAGGATTTTTATAGCCTTTTTCTAGTAAGGATTTGTGTTTCTGCCTGAACACTGACACTTAGTTCTTTCATTAGTGTCGGGTTTCTCAAGCCTATTAACTCTTGACACACAGAGGAAATTAGTTGACTCATTAGAGAGAATGATTGCTCTGGCTTTGGCTTCAAGCCTGGGCTGCCTCGGGCCCCGCCCAGTGTCCCCGAGGCTGAGTGGAGGCTCTTTGTGGAGGTCTCATCCTTCTTGAAGCACACTGGACAGGCTTTTAGAAAGTCCTTCCTGTGACACTAATTAGTAGAATAGGACTTCCTCAAGCAGCCTTCTTTACACTCTCAGCCCTTAGGAACTATCATGCTATGACTTTGTAAATGAGATGATTGCTTTTCCAAATTTGATTTCATATTTCTGTATTTTGTACAAAATCTTACCTTATGTAGGAATGGAATATGTCAACCACAGAAACTGGCAGGCAGGGCAGCAGCTTGCTTTTAGTTGGATATTCATAGTTCTTTGCTAATGATCCTGTTAGTAAAATCATTTTTGGAATTCTACATTTTTGGGTAGTGGGGTGTTGATGAGACAGGGTCTGGGGTAGCCCAGGCTCACCTTGAATTCACACCTTGCCTCCCTCCTAAGTCCTGGGATAACAGCTATGTGCCACCATTCCTAGTCAGAATTCCACATTTTCTTTTGACTTCTCAGTTTACCAGTCTGATTTTGAACTGAAAGCAAGAAAGAAATGAAAGAGAAACAATTACTGAAAGATTTTATGGACTCGGGCTGGAGAAGATGGCTCAGTGGTTAAGAGAACTGGCTGCTCTTGCAGAAGACCTGGGTTCAATACCCAGCACCCACATGGCGGCTAACAACTGTCTGTAACTCCAGTTCTAGGGGAATCCAACACCTTCTTCCGAGGCATTGCATGACATGGGTGCATTTATACACATGCAGGCAATACACTCATACACATAAAATAAAAATAATAAATTATTATTAAAAATAATTTTACAGACTTGATCATTGAGTGATTGATTGATAGGTTGACCCAGTTAAATCTGTCATAAATAAATTTACCTTATATGTTCAATTTCCACATACATCTTAGGTCCTTGCTGCTTGGTAATTGGTTCCTGTGCATTTGAGAGCAGTTGTTGTTTTGATTAGTCATCTTAATGACTTGATAAAAACTGCTTTTTAAAATATTCTTTATAGCTGTTCCACTTATCCTTTTTTAAATATATATTTTCTTCGTCGTCGTCTTCGTCTTTTTTGAGACAGGGTCTCCCTGTAGCCCCAGCTGGCCTGGAACTCACTATGTAGACCAGGCTGGCCTTGAACTCACAAAGATCCTCCTGCCTCTGCCTCCCAAGTGCTGGGATTAAAGGCGTGCCCCACCACGCCCGGCATATTTTCTTCTTTTAAAAATATCTTTTATTTTTATTTTATGTGTATGAGTGTATTGCCTGCATGTATGTAAGTGCACCCGTGTTGTGCAAAGACCACGGAGGTCAGAAGAGGTCTTTGGATCCCCTGAAACTGGAGTTATGGATAGTTGTTAGCTGCCATGTGGGTGCTGGGAATTGAACCCAGGTCTTCTGGAAGAACAGCAAGTGTTCTTAACCACTGAGCCATCTCTCCAGTCCCTAATACATATTTTCATTGTCATTTAGTGGACAAGTTTGTGTGTTTATGATATAGGATATGTTTACTGTAAATCACATTAGTTTCAGAGATCCTGCTCTAACACAGTGGAGGAATTTGGAATGAAAAACAGTATCCAGTTTTGCTTAACTTTGTTTCTTTGTTGGGTTTTTTTGTTTTGTGTTTTTTTGGTCTTTTCGAGACAGAGTCTCCCTACAGTCCCAGCTGGCCTGGAACTTAGTATGTAGACCAGGTTGGCCTTGATCTCACAGAGATCCACCTGCCTCTGCCTCTGGAGTGCTGGGATTAAAGGTGTATGCTACCACTCCTGACTCGTTTCTTTGTTCTTTGAGACAGGGTCTCCCTGCAGCCCCAGGTGGCCTGGAACTCGCTATGTAGATCAGGCTGGCCTTGATCTCTCACAGAGATCTGCCTGCCTCTGCCTCCCCAGTGCTGGTGTTAAAGGTGTATGCTACTATACCTGGCTTTGCTTAACATTGTTTTGATCCTGTCCTCACATACTGTTAAGGAATTATTTTTCTTTTCTCCGCACAAAAGTCAGAGGGCTAGACTTCGCCTTTTTGCTTATTTTTTTCTGATGTTTCATTTTATTTTTGAGACAGGTCTCATGTATCTCAGGCTGCTCTTGAACTTACTATGTTGCTGAGATGATCTCGAACTCCTGCCTCTGTTTCCTGAATGTTGGGATTATGGGATTGCGCCATCATGCCCTGTTCTTGAGGTGCTAGGGATTGAACCCAAGACTTTGTGCATGCTAGGCAAGCATTTTACTAACTTAGTTACATCTCCTGCCCTTTTCTGGTGTTTGGAGAGAGGATCTTGCTATGTAACCCTGGCTGGGTTGGTACTTGATATGTATATGAAGCCATTCTGCTTTGGCCACCTAAGTGCTGGGATTACAGGCATGTATCATATTTATGTGTGGCACCTCTAATGGCTGATACTACCAAGTGTTTCCCATAGAGCAGCTCAAATCCTCAGAGGTTTGTGAGCAAGGCACCATTGTTATCTGTTTTACAAGTGATTTCAGAAACTGATTCATATCATGTGTTAAAAACTTGCAAGACTCAAATCTCTGCTCTCTGCCATCTGATTCTAGAGTCCTTGTAACTAAAAATTATACTGTGTATCTGTTTGTTAGGTGTGCCAGAAACCTAATGCAGATCACTGCTGGTTATGCAGCATACATCTTTTTAAAGCTGTTTTCCTGCGTGTTGTCTCTTGAGGTGGTTAGTTGTTTCATGAATATTCTAGGTGCTTTCCTGAGACTGTAATTCTGAGGACTGCACGCAGGTTCACACATGTCTTTAAAGCATAAGGCTTTTCTTTTTTTTCGCTGTCACCTGTTTCCCATGTGCTGGAGATAGGACCTAAAGTGTTGTACATAGTAAACATACACTCTGCCACTGAACTATGCTTCCAATCCCTCATCATCTGTTGTAAATAATTTTGCTATATAGTTAAGCACATTAATAATAGGTAATCAGTGATTGTTAGTTGTTTTTTATTTTTATGTGTATGAGTGTTATACTTGCAAGTATGTAAGCGCACCTGTGTCATGCAATACTAGAAGAGGTCAGAAGAGAGTGTGAGAGTGTCAGATCCCCTGGAACTGGAGTTACGGGAAGTTATTATTACCTGCCATATGGATACTCGTAACTGAACCCGAGTCCTCTGTCAGAGCAGCCAGTGCTCGTAACTGCTGAGCTATCTCTCCAGCTCCATTTTATTCTCTTTAAAAACATTTTAAATTGTGTGTGTGTGTGTATGTGTGTGTGTGTGTGTTTATGTGTTTATTTGTGTTTAGGGCCATGTGTACCATGGCATGTGTGGAGGTCATAGGGCAAGATGCAGGAATCATAGTTAGTTCTCACCTTCCATCACGTGGGGTGCGGGGCCTGAGGATTGAACTCAGGTCTTTAGGCTTGGAGGCAAGCACCTTTATCCACTGAGCAATCTTGCTGGCCCTGTTCTCTTCTTGACAGTGGTTACAGCTACGTTGCTGAACTCCACACAGTGAATCTTCACAATATTTCAGTTTCCTTTTGAGAACTCATAGCCCTTCATTTTAAACAAACATTTTATAATAGTTTTAGATTCCTAGAAAGTTACAAAAATAGGATAGAGAGTTCTGTGTGTGTTGCATTCAGTTTTTCTTAATGTTTAACATCTCACATTAGGATGTCATAACAAATAAATATGTTACTCACTGAACGTATGTTTGGGGATTTCATTCATTCTTTGCTATACATATAATTTTTCCTCTTCTAACTTAGCTGAGATGCACATAGACTTTTTTTTTATTTATGTGCAAAGTTTTCAGTTACCTTAAAGGACTGCATTGTACCTGATTTATTAACATCTGTATATGACTCACTTGTGTAATTGAATCACTAATGTAGAGTGCTGTGTGAATGCCTAAAAAAACTGATTTAAGCCTTTGGGATATAGCTTGGTGAGAGCGTGGTTGCATAACATTCACAAAGTGGTGGGTTCGATCTGTAGCACCACAAAAAATGTTTTGGTTGATTTTAAAAAACAACAGAAAGGGACTGGAAAGATGACTCAGCACCTAAGAGCACTATCTGCTCTTGCAGAGGACCTGGGTTCAATTCCTAGCACCCACATGGCGGCTAACAACTGTCCCTAACTCCAGTTCCAAGGGATTCAGTGCCCTATTCTGATCTTTGCAGGCATTGCATGACATGGGTGCACTTAGACACATGCAGGCAGTACACTTATACATATAAAATAAAAGTAATAAATACTCTAATAAAAACAACAGCAACAATAAAAGGCCGGGCCTAGTGGTGCACACCTTTAGTCCCAGTGTTTAGGAGGCCAAGGCAGGTGGATCTCTGTGAATTCGAGGCCAGCCTGGTCTACATAGTGAGTTCCAGGCCAGCTGGTCTACAGGGAGACCCTGTCTCGAAAAGACACACACACACAAACACACACACACACACACACACACACACATACACA